CACACACACACACACACACACACACACACACACACACACACACACACACACTTTCTGTATATATCAACCTTTTTTTTAATCATTTAAATATGCACATACGTAGTCTGCTTATTCACTTTACTCATTCTCAAAACTAACTTTCAAATTCAAATTAACAAAAAAGAATATATGTAAACAAAGTTCCTTTCTTTGATATTATGTTTCAAAATACATCAAGTTCTCTCTGAAGTGTTTCAAGCTTCTTCTAATTAAACAAGTAGTACTTTCACTTAGAATAAATATATTATATAATTAAATTATATATTTCTGCAAACAGGTGGTATTGGTACAAAGCGATTTTGCTCGTCCGTGCACATGGGAAACTACTGCGACTATGTGAAACAACCGGGTGACAAGCTGACTTACCGTACTTGCGTATTTACATGTTCCGAAGATGGTTGCAATTCAGCGATATCTTTCATGCCAAATATAATGTATACATGGATCATGCCAGCGAGTTTAATAGTAGCCTGGAAAAAGCTATTTCATAGGTAGAAGCTTCTGTAGAGGCTTGACGATTAGTTAAGAATTTGACAAATTTATTTCATTATGTCGATGAATTTCTAATATCTTTTTCTACTCTTTTTTAAATCTTAAGTATCAATTTATACATATTATACATTAGCATTTACATGCTAATGTAAAATATGTTTTATGTAAAGTAAATTTTGATCTTAATATTAGATTTCTCCTACCAATGACACACCTCAAATATTACGGAGTGTGATGCTTACGAGATATTTCTTACCAGTATCAGAAAAATATAATCAATTTTAAGATAATATTCAATTTTTCAAGATCTTTTTTGCAACTTTATATTTCAATCCTGTGTAATAGGATTGTTACTTTTAATTAAAATATTTGAATTATTTTATTATGTTATTCATTCATAATTTTTGAAACTCAAATTTTTATTCTATCATTATATTCTTATAAGATTTATACTCCAATAATTCGTTCACAGGCTGTGTTCGGATATACACTGCCAGTATTGAAATTCTATGGTATACGTAAATTATATTGAAAATAAAGTTGCCAAAAAAGATCGAAGATAAATTTCAAAAAGCATCACTGTATTTAAAAATTCTCTTTTTCTACATATATATATATATA